GGATGGGCATCCATAGACAAGGCAGGTAGGGGTCTTTGGCAACTGTGGGTGGCACAAGAGTGTCCTATAGGACAAAGGGATGTTGTGGCTCAAGTTTATTTTTATTTTTATTTTTATTTTTATTTTTTTTTGAGACGGAGTTTCGCTCTTGTTACCCAGGCTGGAGTGCAATGGCGCCATCTCGGCTCACCGCAACCTCCGCCTCCTGGGTTCAGGCAATTCTCCTGCCTCAGCCTCCTGAGTAGCTGGGATTATAGGCACGCGCCACCATGCCCAGCTAATTTTTTGTATTTTTAGTAGAGACGGGGTTTCACCATGTTGACCAGGTTGGTCTCGATCTCTCGACCTCGTGATCCACCCGCCTCGGCCTCCCAAAGTGCTGGGATTACAGGCTTGAGCCACCGCGCCCGGCCTATTTTTATTTTTTATTTTTTTGAGACAGAGTCTTGCTCTGCCAGGCTAGAGTGCAATGACACCATCTCAGCTCACTGCAACCTCCACAACTCAGGTTCAAGCAATTCTCCTGCCTCAGCCTCCCAAGTAGCTGGGACTCCAGACACCTGCCACCATGTCCAGCTAATATTTGTATTTTTAGTAGAGATGGGGTTTCAACATGTTAGCCAGGATGGCCTCGATCTTGACCTCGTGATCCACATGACTCAGCCTCCCAAGTGCTGGGATTATGGGTGTGAGCCACTGCACCTGGCTGCCTCATTATTTTATTTACTAATTTTTATTTTATTTTAGTTTTTTTTTTTTTTTTTTGAGACACAGTTTCACTCTGCCGCCCAGGCTAGGGTACGGTGGCACGATCTTGGCTCACTGTAATCTCCACCTCCCAGGTTCAAGCAATTCTCCTGCCTCAGCCTCCCCAGTAGCTGGGATTACAGGCACCTGCCACCACACCCGGCTAATTTTTGTATTATTAGTAAAGATGGACTTTCACCACGTTGGCGAGGCTGGTCTCAAACTCCTGACCCCAACTGATCCACCCACCTTGGCCTCGGAAAGTGCTGGGATTACAGGTGTGAGTCACTGCACCTGGCCTTGGGACTGAGGTGGGAGAATCCTTTGAACTAAGGAGGTGGAGGTTACAGTGAGCCGTGATTGCACCACTGCACTCCAGCCTGGGCCACCTGAGTGAAACCCTGTCTCAAAAAAAAAAAAAAAAAAAAGATAAAATAAGGGGCTGGGCTCAGTGGCTCAAGCCTGTAATCCCAGCACTTTGGGAGGCCGAGGCGGGTGAATCACGAGGTCAAGAAATCGAGATCATCCTGGTCAACATGGTGAAACCCCATCTCTACTAAAAATACAAAAATTAGCTGGGCATGGTGGCGCGTGCCTGTAATCCCAGCTACTCGGGAGGCTGAGGTAGGAGAATTGCCTGAACCCAGGAGGCGGAGGTTGCGGTGAGCCGAGATCGCGCCATTGCACTCCAGCCTGGGTAATAAGTGCGAAACTCCGTCTCAAAAAAAAAAAAAAAAAGATAAAATAATGATTCATTCTAGGGAGACAGGACATCGGAGAGCACATTTTGTAAGATCACATAACAACAGTGAGAAAAGCCACACCCTAGGGGAATTACCCTCCCCACCCACCCATCAGGTGAGGAGATGGAGACCAGGAACAGTGGGGACATGGGGGTGGGCTTCAGTCAACAGTTCGGCCAGGGAGGAGGCCGGGTGCAGGGCCAGCATTGGCTTTTCTACGTAGTCACACCCCTGGGCTGGGCTTGGTGTTCCTCACCCAGCACCCCAGACTGGTTCACAGACTCACACCCTACCTGGCTGGGTACAGCCCTCAGCCTTCTCCCTCCTGTTTCCTCTAGGAACTCCCTAGGAACTTCCCCTTTCTCTCGCTCTTTTTTTTTTTTTTTTTTTTTTTTTTTTTTTTTTTGTAGAGGTAGGGGTCTCACCATGTTTTGCCAGGCTGGTCTCCAACTCCTGGGCTCAAGCCATCGTCCTGCCTCGGCCTCCCAAAGTGCTGGCATTGAGGGCAAGAGCCACTGTGCCCAGCCTGAATTCCTCTTTTTTAGTCTCTTCTAAGAGGCCTTGAGTCTCTGGATGGCTCAGGTTTTGATTGTACCTCCTGGGTTTTGAACTTTGTTAAATGCAACCCCAGAAAAATCATGCCCACACCTGGGATCACGGCCCTCTCTAGTCTTGGAGTCTGGGTTTTAACAGCTCCGCAGATGATTCCTATTATTCTCATGGTAGGGAAGTACTAGGATAGAAGGTGAAGAGAGGGAGGGAGGCAGGATTTGATGTGCGTGAGGCCCATCTCCCAAGGTGCTAGGAAACCGTTCTTTTTCTTTTCTTTCTTTTCTTTTTTTTTTTTTTGGAGGCGGAGTCTTGCTCTGTTGTCCAGGCTGGAGTGCAGCAACCTCCACCTCCTGGGTTCAAATAATTCTCTTTCCCCAGCCTCAGGAGTAGCTGGGGATTACAGGCACGTGCCATCACGCCCAGCTAATTTTTGTAATTTTAGTAGAGACGGGGTTTCATCATGTTGGCCCGGCTCGTCTCAAACTCCTGACCTCAGGTGGTCCTCCCACCTTGGCCTCCCAAAAGTGCTGGGATTAAAGGCGTGAGCCACCGCACCTGGCCTCTACAACTAATTAATTAAAAAACAACCCAGACCACAAAATTTCTACAGCCATCAGTCCAGGAAAGCAAGAAGTCACAGCCTCTGCAGCCATCAGCCCCAAATGGCCAGGGCGGGATCCATCACTCATAGCTTCCCTAATTTTTGTGCCCACCGCCCAACCTTGATTTCAATTTAGTACCAAGCAGAGAAAGCCAATGTTTGTCTAAACAGCCCTCCAAGAGCCTCCTGGTCAGCTCCCAGCCGCCTCCCAGCGCCAGCAGCCTTTGATCAGGGCATATCTGAAGCCTTCCCTTTTCTCTGTTTTTAAGCTTTTGATTTTTTTTTTTTTTTTTTGAGGCAGGGTCGAAGGCTATCTCACAGGCTGGAGTGCAGCGCCGTGATCTCAGCTCACCACAACCTCTGCCTCCCAGGTTCAAGCGATTCTCACGCCTCAGCCTCCTGAGTAGCTGGGATTACGGCATGCACCACCACACCTGGCTCATTTTTCATATTTTTTTGTACAGACAGGATTTCACCATGTTGCTCAGGCTGGTCTCACACTCCTGACCTCAGATGATCTGCCCACCTCGGCAGTCCTAAGTGCTGGGATTACAGGCATGAGTCACCACGCCCGGCCATGGAACCTCATTCTTTAATCTTTAATATGTGCGGGGACTCCAGTCCCGCCTCCCCACCCTGTCACAGTTCCCATAACAGTGCCTGTCACCAAGTATGTTCTCAACTTATATTTTTGGAAGAAAGAGAGAGAGAAACAGAACGGGGAGGGGGTAGAAAGAGAAAGCAGGGGGAGAGGAAAATGAGAGAGGGAGACGGGAGACGGAAGGGAGACACAGAGAGACAGAGGGAAAGAGACGAAGGCTGGGCACAGTGGCTCACACCTGTAGTCCCAGCACTTTGGGAGGCCTAGGCGGGAGGAGGCCAAAGTCAGGAATTTGAGACCAGCCTGACCAATATGATGGAACCCTGTCTTTACTAAAAATAAAAAAATTAGCTGGGCATGGTGATGCACACCTGTAATCCCAGCTATTGTTCTCCTGCCTCAGCCTGGGATTACAGGCACCTGCCACCATGCCTGGCTTTTTTTTTTTTAAAAAAAAAAGACAGGGTTTCACCAGGTTGGTCAGGCTGGTCTTGAACTCCAGACCTCAGGTGATCCGCCCACCTTGGCCTCCAAAGCGCTTGGATTTCAGGTGTGAGCCACTGTGCCTGGCATTTTTTTTTTTTTTTTTTTAAGTAGAGACAGGGTTTCACCATGTTGGCCAAGACGGTCTCAATATCTTGACCTTGTGATCCACCTGCCTTGGCTTCCCAGAGTGCTGGTATTACGGGCATGAGGAATATTGCCAGAGAACCAGGTTTCAAGGGGATAGAGATTCTGTGATGGTTTCAAAGTTGGCTCTGGAGCATCTGAGTACAGTCAGGGAGGTTTAGAAGAACTTACTTTTTCTGAGAATTTTCTAGAAACATGAGATTTTTAGGAATCTTGAGGGTGAAATCCGATTCACTCAACTACCAGGGAGGGGATGCTTCAGGTTCTTCTCAGGGTGTTTTTGTGTTACCAACCTCCGGGCCTTGAGGGTTTAAGTTGATTCAACAGGCTAGGGGGACCTGAACTATGTCCAGGCAGTTTGAGTTTTCAGGACACTTTCTGATGCTGGGGAATTTTCGGGTCATCATTCTCACAGAATACATCTTCCAATATTCCAGTTGGTCCCCAGTGCTTTATTTTACTTATTTATGTACATAATATGAAGTTTTTGCTCTTGTTACCCAGGCTGGAGTGCAATGGTGCGATCTCGGCTCACTGCAACCTCCACCTCCCAGGTTCAAGCAATTCTCCTGCATCAGCCTCCCTAAAATAGCTGGGATTACAGGCATGCACCACAAAGCCCAGCTAATTTTGCATTCTTAATAGAGACAGAGTTTCTCCATGTTGGGCTCGAACTGCTGACCTCAGGCCTCCCAAAGTGCTAGGATTGGTCACGTTGGTCTCAGACTCCCAACCTTGGCCTCCCAAAGTGCTGGGATGATGGACCTGGCTGCTTTTCTTTGAGACAGAGTCTCTGTCGCCCAGGCTGGAGTACAGTGGCACGATCTCCTGGGCTCACTGCAACCGCTGCCTCCCAGGTTCAAGCATTTCTCCTGGTGCTTCCTTACACAGACATGACTGAAGAAACCGTCAGCCAGTGGGGATCAACCTCACCTTCAGCTCCCTTCCCCTCCCAGAAGTTAGCCCTCTAATTCTGCTGGGGTCTTCCCGAGACCAGCCCCGCATCCTGAAGCTATCAGTCAGCATTAGCATACAAAAAGACAGCCCTTGGGAGACTCCCTGGAATTCTGGGATTGCTTTGCAGGAATCAGGCATGAGGACCAAATACAAATGTCACACTGTCACACACACACCATTACGACATGTGACTTTCTTTTTTTTTTTGAGACGGAGTTTCGCTCTTGTTACCCAGGCTGGACTGCAATGGCACGATCTCGGCTCACCGCAACCTCCGCCTCCTGGGTTCAGGCAATTCTCCTGCCTCAGCCTCCTGAGTAGCTGGGATTACAGGCACGCGCCACCATGCCCAGCTATTTTTTTTGTATTTTTTTAGTAGAGACGGGGTTTCACCATGTTGACCAAGATGGTCTCGATCTCTTGACCTTGTGATCCACCCGCCTCGGCCTCCCAAAGTGCTGGGATTACAGGCTTGAGCCACCGCGCCCGGCCCGTGACTTTCTGTATTTATCATCTTTCTCGACTTTGTAGAGATGAACAGGCAGAAGCAGCAGAACTGAAGCTTGGAGCATAAGCTTGGGGTTCCACGATGGGGTAGAGGAAGTATACGTTAGGATCTTGGCAGCAGCCGAAATGGACCATTCTGTGGCCAAGGAGCTCATGTGCAGGGACCTTGAGGTTGGGGTACGAGATGAGCTGGAACGAGGGTACCCGATGGCCCGTGTACACCAGCCCGATCAGGCGAGCCATGCTGGGCAGTCTGGGTAGCGCGTCTGCATTTCTCCGGCCGACAGTGGTGCTGACCTCACGCTCCGGTGCTGGCAGTTGTGGAGTTTCTTCTTTTGGCTCAGGATGCTTGCATTTTGTTTTCTTGAGTTTTGCTCTGCGGTTCTTGAACCAGACCTGAAGGGAAGAGAGAGAACAGCTAGGGGTTGAAAATGGGGTAGAATTCAGATGACTTATCATTCTTTTTTTTTTATTTTTTCTTTTTTTTGAGACGGAGTTTCGCTCTTGTTACCCAGGCTGGAGTGCAATGGCGCAATCTCGGCTCACCGCAACCTCTGCCTCCTGGGTTCAGGCAATTCTCCTGCCTCAGCCTCCTGAGTAGCTGGGATTACAGGCACGAGCCACCATGTCCAGCTAATTTTTTGTATTTTTAGTAGAGACGGGGTTTCACCATGTTGACCAAGATGGTCTCGATCTCTTGACCTTGTGATCCACCCGCCTCGGCCTCCCAAAGTGCTGGGATTACAGGCTTGAGCCACCACACCCGGCCCTTTTTTTTTTCTTTTTTTTTTCTTTTTTTTTTTATATTAGAGATGGGGTGTCACCATGTTGACAGACCGCTCTCGAACTCCCAACCTCAGGTAATCCACCCGCCTCAGCCTCCCAAAGTCCTGAGATTACAGGCCTGAGCCACTGTGCCCAGCCAAAGACAGGGTCTTACTATGTTGCCCAGGCTGGTTTTGAACTCGTGGGCTCAAGCAGTCCTCCTGCCTCAGCCTCTCAAAGTACTGGAGTTACAAATGTAACTCATTACACCTGGCCTTTTAAGATTTTATTCTGGAGACAGGGTCTTGCTGTGTCACCCAGGCTGGAAGTACAGTGACGTGACCAGAGCTCACTCCATCCTCAACCTACAGTGCTCCAGCGATTCTCCTGCCTTAGCCTCCAGAGTAGCTGAGATTACAGCTACATACCACCATGCTGGGCGAATTTTTTGGATTTTTTTGTAGAGGTGGGGTCTCAGTGTATTACCCTGGCTGGTCTGAAACTCCTGGCCTCCTTAAGTGCTGGGATTATCGGCATGAGCCACCATCCCCAGCCCGTTTTCCTTTTAGCTGATAATATGAGTACTTCCAGGTGACAACAGCTGGTGCCACAGCTTGGCCATTTATATCCTCTCTGTGGAACCCTTTGCAATCTACTTTCAGGAAGGAGCAGAAATGAGAGATTTTAGGGGCAGGAATTGAGACAGGGCTCAGAAAACCCAACGCAGGGGATGGGAGAGGAAGGGGATCAAGTTGCACGGGCAGCTCTGGGGCTCAGGTCAGCTAGCTAAGGCTCCTGGCCAAATCGGACCCACCCCCTGGCTGTGCATCACCCGTGCGCTAAGAATAGGCTTTACGTTTTAAAAATGGTTGAGAAAAAGAAAAGAGAACAAAACAACAACAATAACAACAACAACAAAATGGTTGAGAAAAAACAAACACGATAAGAGTACTATTTAGTGTTGTCTGTGTGTTGGAACTAAAATAAAAAAAGAGAAAATAAAAGAACACTATTGGCCAGGCACAGTGGCTCATACCTGTAATCTCAGGACTTTGGGAGGCTGAGGTGGGTGGATCCCTTGATTTCAGGAGTTTGAGTCCAGCCTGGGCAGCATGACAAAACCACATCTCTACAAAACACACACACACACACACACACACACACACACACACACACACACACATACAAAAATTAGCTGGGCCTGGTGGTGCACTCCTGTAGTACCAGCTACTCAGGAGGCTGAGGTGGGAGGATGGCTTGAGCCCAGGAGGGGGAGGTTGCGGTAAGCCAAGACCATGCCACTGCACTCCAGACTGGGTTACACAGCCAGATCATGTCAAAAAAAAAATTAAAAAAGCAACTCCCTGTCTTAAAACAAAAGAATACTATTTTGTAATGTGAAAAATTGCATAAACTTAAGGCCAGGCACAGTGGCTCACGCCTGTAATCCTGACACTTTGGGAGACCGAGGCAGGTGGATCACTTGAGACCAGGAGCTCAAGATCAGCCTCCTGGGCAACATGGCGAAACCCCATCTCTACAAAAAGAAAAAAAAAAAAAGTAGCCAGGCATGGTGGTGCACACCTGTAGTCCCAGCTACATGGGGTCTGAGGCGGGAGGATTGCTTGGCCCAGGAGGTCGAGGCTGCAGTGAGCTGTGATGGCATCACTGTACTCCAACCTGAGTGAAAGAACTTATGGGAACAGAGAGGCCTCTTTTGTTTTCATTTTCTGTGGCTGCCTCAGCACTGTGAAGGCATAGTTAAATAGTTGCTAGAGAGAGAGTATGCCCCACAAAGCCTCAGCTATTTACTACCTGGTCCTTTACCGGAAAAAAACATTCCCATTCTTGCTCTGGGGATTTGGAGAAAGGTTTATGGACGTGGGTAGGAAAGTGTGGGTTTGGGGAATACCAGCAAATGGAATGAGACGTCAGGACTTATCCTAGAGGGTCTCCGAATTTAGGTTAGATCGGGAAGGCGGTTCCGTAAGAAGCATCGTTTTCCAACCTGCAGTACTGTGGGGGGTATGTTTATTTTCATGGCCACTTCTTTCAGAAGGCTGGAGTTTGGGTATGGATTCTCATCGAATAAGATGTTCAGATCTTTCAGTTGCTGCTCAGTGAACATGGTTCGCTTCCTGTGTGAATGCAACTGGTCCTTGCCTTGAAAGAGGAAGAAAAGACACAAATGGGAAATGCTAGTAACTCCATTCCCCAAAGCCCAAATTTTCAACTTTCCTTTCCTCTCCACTGAGGGTACACCGTGGTGATCAAGTGACTGAGATTTTTTTTTTTTTTTGGTTTGTCTTTTGTATTTGTCATTAGTCCTTTAAGTTCTATCTATATATGAGGTTCTTTTTATTTATTTATTTTATATATATATATATATATATTTTTTTTTTTTTTTTTTTTTTTGAGACGGAGTTTCGCTCTTGTTACCCAGGCTGGAGTGCATTGGCGCGATCTCGGCTCACCGCAACCTCCGCCTCCTGGGTTCAGGCAATTCTCCTGCCTCAGCCTCCTGAGTAGCTTGGATTACAGGCACATGCCACCATGCCCAGCTACTTTTTTGTATTTTTAGTAGAGACGGGGTTTCACCATGTTGACCAGGATGGTCTCGATCTCTTGACCTTGTGATCCACCCGCCTCGGCCTCCCAAAGTGCTGGGATTACAGGCGTGAGCCACCGCACCCAGCTTGTTTTTTTTTTTTTTTTTTTTTCTTAAAACCACAATCAGAAGAAGAGATGGGGTTTCACCATGTTAGCCAGGCTGGTCTCGAACTCCCAACCTCAGGTGATCCATCTGCCTCAGCCTCCTAAAGTACTGGTATTACAGGCATGGGCCACCTCGCCCAGCCATGACTGAGGTTCTTAGATACTGAGACACTGCTGGCCAGGGTGGTGTCTTAGGCTGTAGTCCCAGTACTGTGGGAGGCTGAAGCAGGAGGACGACTTGATCCCGGGAGTTTGAGGCCAGCCTGGGCAACGTAGTGAGACTTTCCTTCACTACAAAAATAAAAATAAAAAATAAATACTAGCCAATTGCTTATCTGCCTTTTGTCCACGTTTTCCCAAGCCTCATTCTGTCACAAGTAGAGCACCACGGGAAAGGGCTGTTTCTTTCCCCCTGGCCTCCTCTGTTATCATTTAAACATGGGATCCTTTGCCAGGTATGGTGGCTCATGCCTGTGATTCCAGGACTTTGGGAGGCCAGGGCGGACAGATCGCATGAGGTCATGAGTTCAAGACCAGCCTGGCCAGCATGCTGAAACCCTGTCTTTACTAAAAATACAAAAATTAGCTGGGCACAGTGGTGCATGCCTGCAATCCCAGCTACTCAGGAGGCCGAGGCAGGAGAATCACTTGAACCCCGGAGGCAGGAGCTCCAGTGAGCTAAGATCACATCACTGCACTCTAGCCTGTTGACAGCGGGAGACCTTGTCTCAAAAAGTAAATAAATAAAAGGGATCCCTTGTGCCTTACCTCTTGGGATCTGTTTTCTTTGTGTAGAAAGCAGGCAACTCAGTCCAAGATGAAATGGACATGGTTTTATGCTTATCATTTATTCAGTGTTTATTAAGTATATTCTTTTAGGAATATAGCAAGGAAATAAACAGGAAAATAACATCACTGCTCTAATGGATATCACCTTTTCCTTTCTTTTTCTAGAGACAGGTTACTGCTCTGTTGCCCCGCGGTACAATCACAACTCACTGCGGCATCAACTCCCCAGACTCAAGGGATCCTCTCACATCAGCCTCCTGAACAGCTGAACTACAGGGCACTGCCATGCCCGGCTAATTTGTATATTTTTTTGTAGAGATGATGTCTTGCTTTGTTGCCCAGGCTGGTCTTGAACTCCTGGGCTCAAGCCATCTGCCTGCCTCAGCCTCCCAAAGTGCTGGGATTACAGGCATGAGCCGTCGCACACAATATTTCCAGCTTGGCTAAGCCTATATTCTCTCTAGGGCCGAATCATCCTCACAGGAATCAGATTCCCCTGGGGAATCTGCTCTGGTGAATCTGATTCCTGTGAGGATGATTCGGCCCTAGAGAGAATATAGGCTTACATTCTACATTAGAACAAGCACTGGGGTAGGAGGAATTAAGTTAACGCAACAACCAGTGAGAAGACTTGGAATTCTTGGGCAGAAAAGGGCTTCACTGCGTTTCCCAGTGCTGGATGACAGGGCTGGGCATGGTGCTCACGCCTGTAATCCCAGCACTTTGGGAGGCCGAGGCGGGCAGATCACATGAGGTCAGGGGTTTGAGACCAGCCTGGCCAACACGGTGAAACCCCATCTCTATAAAGATACAAAAATTAGCCGGGCATGGTGGTGGGTGCCTGTAATCCTACCTTCTTGGGAGGCTGAGGCACGGGAATCGCTTGAACCTGGGAGGCGGAGGTTGCACTGAGCTGAGATCACACCACTGCACTCCAGCCTGGGCTACAGAGCGAGACGCCCTCTCAAAAAACAAAAACAACAATAAAAAATATGACAGCTTCTGTGGGAAGTTCCCGCCACCCACGTGGACAAAGCGCCGGCTTCAGCTGCCTCTTTCCTCTGCCTTTTTCACACGTCTTGACTTCGGTTCTCATTTTTTCTGGCTTACCTGTAGGAAGATCGTCCGAGCCTGGCATCTTCTAATCTAGATGTGAGCTTGGGCTCAGATCCAGGGATAAGAACCAGCAAAGGTGGAATCCAGGCTTAAATAGCTTCCTCCTCAGCCACACCCGATTCCCACCCCCTCCACCTTTCTCTGCCCTTTCTGCCTCCAGAGCCCCCTGGATCTCTCCCAGGGCTGTCATTGATCTAATATTAATTGAGCCGGGACCAGTGACTCAAAGGTGAGCCCACGAACCAGCCCTGCTACCACTCCTGGGAGTTTGTTGAAATGCAGAATCCTGGCCCACTCCAGACCTCCTGAGCAGAAGCTGCATTTTTTTTTTTTTTTTTTTTTTTTAAGGCAAGTCCCACTCTGTCACTCAGGCTGGCGTGCAATGCTGCCATCTCGGCTCACTGCAGCCTCTGCCTCCCAAGTTCAAGTGATTCTCATGTCTCAGCCTCCCGAGTAGCTGGGATCGCAGGTGGGCACCACCACATCCAGCTAACGTTTGTGTTTTTTAGTAGAGACGGGGGTTTCACTGTGTTGGCCAGGCTGGTCTCGAACTCCTGACTTCAAGTGATCTGCCCGTCTTGGCCTCCCAAAGTGCTGGGATTACAGGTGTGGGTCACCACGCCCGGCCAGAAGGTGCATTGTCACAGAAGATCACAATGATCACGGGATGCTGTTTTACATCAGGGGGTCTCCATGCTCCAGGTCCGTTCGAATCATCTCGGAGGCTTGACAAAGCAGAGACTTTGCCCTCAAGGTTTCTGACTCACTTGGTCTGGGGTGTGGGAACTGATGATTTCCATACCTAACAAGCTCCCAGGTGACCAGGCTCCGTAATGGAGACTGGGAACGTGATTGTCAATAATAAAGCCCAAGTTTAAACCCTTAAGTGGCTTTCAGGTAACTTGCATATTCTTGAGTGGCTAATGTATGGTTGGCATTACTCTGCATATCCTGATGCAGTTAATTCACTCAGAAATCATCTCTCTTCATTTATTTTTTATTTATTTTGAGATGGGGTCTCAATTTGTGGTCCAGGCTGGAGTGCAGTGGCATGATCTCCACTCACTGCAACGTCCCCCTCTCAGGTTTAAGCAATTCTCCTGCCTCCGCCTCCTGAGTAGATAGGATTACAGGTGCCCACCACCAAGCTCCGCTGATTGCAGGTGGCTCATACCTGTCATCCCAGCACTTTGGGAGACTGAGGCAGTTTGAGACCAGCCTGGCAAACATGGCAAAACTCCACCTCTACTAAAAAATACAAAAAATAGCCGGGTGTGGTGGTGGTGGGCACCAGCTACTTGGGAGGCTGAGGGCGGAGAATCACTTGAACCTGGGAGGTGGAGGTTGTGGTGAGCCAAGATCATGCCACTCCACTCCAGCCTGGGGTGAGTGAGATTCTATGTTAAAAACAAAAACAGACAGACAGACAAACAACAATTAAAAAAAAAAAAATCTGCAACACCTTTCAGATGCCCAGGCTCGAACCATGCCTACTTCTTATCTTAATGACGAGGGCAGTGTGAGTTCGGGTTCACAGAAGGGGCAGCTTTTCTTGCCATTTATCCGTTTGAGTCTCACTTCTGCACATCCCTTCCTTGTGTTAGTAGTTAGCCTTTGCATAAATGAACTTCTACCTACTTTTTTTTTTTTTTTTTTTTTTGAGACAGGGTCTTGCTACGTCTCAAACAATGCAGCTGACTGCAGCCTTGACCTCCCAGGCTCAAGCGATCCTCCTACCTTAAGTCCCAGGCTGGAGTGCAGTGGCAAAATCATAGCTCAGGGTAGCCTTAACCTCCTGGGCTTAAGTGACTCTCTCACCTCAGCCTCCTGAGTAGCTGGGACTATAGGTGCACACCACCATACCTGGCTAATTTTTGGATTTTTTTTTTTTTTTTGAGGCGGAGTTTCGCTCTTGTTACCCAGGCTGGAGTGCAATGGTGAGATCTCGGCTCACCACAACCTCCGCCTCCTGGGTTCAGGCAATTCTCCTGCCTCAGCCTCCTCAGTAGCTGGGATTACAGGCACGCGCCACCATACCCAGCTAATGCTTTGTATTTTTAGTGGAGATGGGGTTTCACTACGTTGACCAGGATGGTCTCGATCTCTTGACCTCATGATCCACCCACCTCGGCCTCCCAAAGCGCTGGGATTACAGGCTTGAGCCACCGCGCCCGGCCTCTAATTTTTGGATTTTTTGTAGAGATGGGATTTTGCCATGTTGGCTAAGCTGGTCTCAAAGTCCTAGCCTCAAGCATCCTCCTGCCTCAGCCTCCCAAAGGGCTGGGATTGTGGAGAGGCAGGATCTTCATGTGTTGCTCAGGCTGGAGGGCAGTGGCTGTGCACAAGCTGAGGTCACTACTCATCAGCAAGAAAGTCTTTTTTGGTGGAGGGGATGGAGTCTCACTCTGTCACCCAGGCTGGAGTGCAATGGTGTGATCTCGGCTCACTGCAACCTCTGCCTGCGGGGTTCAAACGATTCTCCTGCCTCGGTCTCCCAACTAGCTGGGATTGCAGGCGCCTGCCACCAAGCCCAGCTAATTTTTGTATTTTTAAGAGAGACGGGGTTTCTCCATGTTGGCCAGGCTGGTCTCAAACTCCTGACCTCAAGTGATCTGCCCTCCTTGGACTCTCAAAGTGCTGGGATTACAGTTGTGAGCCACCCCTCCCAGCCAACCAATTACAAATTTCTTTGTTCCTTCTCTCCTGCTGCTTTGCTTGACTGGCCTAAAGTAAGAGTAGGCCAGGGGCAGTGGCTCACGCCTGTAATCCCAGCACTTTGGGAGGCTGAGGCGCGTGGATCACAAGGTTAGGAATTCAAAACCAGCCCGGCCAAGATGCTGAAACCCCATCTCTACTAAAAATACGAAAAAATTAGCTGGGCACAGTGGCTCACGACTGTAATCTCAGCACTTTGGAAGGCTGACGCAGAGAACTGCTCCAACCCGGGAGGCAGAGGTTGCAGTGAGCCGAGATAGCACTACTGCACTCCAGCCTGGGCAACAGAGCCAGACTCCATCTCAAAAATAATAATAATAAGCCGGGCGCGGTGGCTCAAGCCTGTAATCCCAGCACTTTGGGAGGCCGAGGCGGGTGGATCACGAGGTCAAGAGATCGAGACCATCCAGGCCAACATGGTGAAACCCCGTCTCTACTAAAAATACAAAAAAATTAGCTGGACATGGTGGCGCGTGCCTGTAATCCCAGCTACTCAGGAGGCTGAGGCAGGAGAATTGCCTGAACCCAGGAGGCGGAGGTTGCGGTGAGCCGAGATCGTGCCATTGCACTCCAGCCTGGGTAACAAGAGCGAAACTCCGTCTCAAAAAAAAAAAAAAAATAATAATAATAATAATAATAGTCCTTCCATGTCAAAATAGGAAAATAATAACAATAATCACACCACAAAACGCCATTTCTTTGGGTACACCATGAACAGGTGGGCACACCAACGATGAACAGCACATCTTTAGAGATGAAGAAGACACAGCAAGCAACAATTTTAAGCCACATTTTCATCTTGCGATAGTGTCAGAGACCAGTTTAAAAAGACCCAGTTGCCGGGTGCAATGGCTCACGCCTGTAATACCAGCACTTTGGGAGGCTGAGGTGGGCGGGTCACCTGAGGTCAGGAATTCGAGACCAGCCTGACCAATATGGTGAAACACCATCTTTAAAAATAAATAAATAAATAAATAATAAAAAGATCCAGTTATCTGCCATCTGTTTCTCTCTTTTTCAGATTTTTTTTTTTTTTTTTTTTTTTTGAGACGGAGTTTCGCTCTTGTTACCCAGGCTGGAGTGCAATGGCGCAATCTCGGCTCACTGCAACCTCCGCCTCCTGGGTTCAGGCAATTCTCCTGCCTCAGCCTCCCGAGTAGCTGGGATTAGAGGCACGTGCCACCATGCCCAGGTAATTTTTTTGTATTTTTAGTAGAGACAGGGTTTCATCATGTTGACCAGGATGGTCTCGATCTCTTGACCTCGTGATCCACCCGCCTCGGCCTCCCAAAGTGCTGGGATTACAGGCTTGAGCCACCGCGCCCAGCGATATTTTTTTTTAAAAAAGGAATCATAGGTCGGATGCAGAAATCATCGCCAGACGCAATGGCTCATGCCTGTAATCCCAGCACTTTGAGACAGGAAGAAGGGAGGATCACTTGAGCCCAGGCGACCAGCTTTTCTTTTCTTTTTTTTTTTTTTGAGACGGAGTTTCACTCTTGTTACCCAGGCTGGAGTGCAATGGCCCGATCTCAGCTCACTGCAAAGTCTGCCTCCTGGGTTCAGGCAATTCTCCTGCCTCAGCCTCCTGAGTAGCTGGAATTACAGGCACACGCCACCATGCCCAGCTAATTTTTTGTATTTTTAGTAGAAACGGGGTTTCACCATGTTGACCAGGATGGTCTCGATCTCTTGACCTTGTGATCCACCTGCCTCGGCCTCCCAAAGTGCTGGGATTACAGGCGTGAGCCACCGCGCCCGGCCAGCTTTTCAAAAAATAAAATAAATCGGAATTATACAGTATGTGCCTTTTGTGTGCTGGCTTCTTTTACTGAGCATGTTTTTTCAAGGTTCCTCCTCATGGTATAATGTGTCAGTACCTCATTCCACTTTATTTTCTGAGACAGACTTGCTCTGTTGCCCAGGCTGGAGTGCAGTGACAAGATCGCAGCTCACTGCAGCCTCCGCCTCCCAGATTCAAGTGATTCTAGTGCCTCAGCCTCCCAAGTAGCTGGGATTACAGAGCTGTGCCAACATATCCAGCTAATTTTTGTATTTGTAGTAGGGATGGGGGTTTCACCATGTTGGCCAGGCTGGTCTCAAACTCTTGACCTCAAGTGATCCACCTGCCTCGGCCTCCCAAAGTGCTGGGATTACTGGTGTGAGCCACTGTGGCTGGCCCCTTTTTACAGCTGAATTATATTCCATTGCATGGATAAACAATATTTATTTAATCCATTCATTTGTGGATGGACAGGCTGGGATCAGGAGAGAGTAGAGAATAACTGCTTATGGGACTTTATTTTGGAGTTATGAAAATGTTTTGGGGCTGGGCATGGTGGCTCACA